TCTTGGTCTAGATTCATCATCTGCTCTTCATCCAGATACCTATATTTCCTCCAGTATGGTTCCTTGTATTTATAGCAGGCTTTATTGAGCTTATGATTTTGCTGAGTAAATATAATGGATAGTGAAACAGGCTGGTATTAGCAAGGAAGCCTGTAGGAACACTGAATTGGCATGAAATTGCCAGTGTACATAACAAAGCATAAGCCAGGCATGTTAAGGATACAGCCCGCTGAGCTATTTCACCCACTGCATGGGGCTTCTACGGTGGCTGGGAATTCAGAGGTGGGGTGAACGGGGGCAGGGCCTTCCAGCAAATGCCCAGCTACAAAGCCACAAAGTCCTGCTGGGGGGAAACGTTGGCAGCAAGGGGGCAAGCGATGGCTGCGTTAACCCAGATACTGCCACTCATACCACTGGCAGGTCTGGATTCAACTCGCGGAGAGCTCCACAGTCTGGATCCAGGCTGGGGGCCCTGGTGACACTGGTACTGGCATGAGCAGTGCTTTTATCATTGAGGTCCAGGGAATAGCAAACAGCTAGCATTATTTGTCCTTTATAAACGGCACTGTCTCTGTGACAGAATAGTTGCATTTCATGACAATTGATATTAGAGGCCTGGGGGAGATCTGGTAGCTGCAGTATGGTTATGTGCTGGCACCCAAAAATAAGCTATCACCAGTGAACTATGATCAACAGCCTTTTTGAGAGAGATCCATGCTGTTGGTGGTACAGGAAACAATACCTACTTTGAAGATGAGGTTGGGTGTCAAGTGTTGGTTTGTGAGTTTGTTGCATAATATGATAGACAAGGTTCTTTGGGTAAATGTGATATCTTTTATTAGACCAACTAAATATTTGGAAAAATTGTTCTTTGCAAGCTTTCGGGCACCAACATCCTTCAGGCATAAGGAGAGTCTGCTGGTGTTGTGTGTTCTGGATGGAATAGAAACCAGCATGCAAAATGCAGGTCTGTGAACATGCAGATGTGTGGCAGTGAGGATCAGGGGCTATGGGAGATGAAAGGCCTGGGGTTATCAGATGTCAGGCAGGTTATAATGTGCCATAAATCCGATGTCTACATTTAGTCCATGGTTTTTGGTATCTCAGATTTATGAAGTGAAGTTCATAGGCTTGTCTATGAAAGGTATTTTGTAAATTCCGTTTGAGGCTTAGAACTGAGAGATCGAAGAGAGAGTGGTTATCTTGTAAGAAGTGTGCACCCACAGGTAATTGGGGTTTTTTTGTCTTTGATTTTTGGTATGCATTCACTCTGGTATGTGATTTGGTAAGCAGTTGTTGTTTGGTTTCTCATATATATTTTCCTGGTGATAGTTTTGTTGTGGGGTATATTAATTGTGGGGGTGGTGGAGATGTGTCGGCAGGTTTTGCGTTTCTTGTCATGGCATGGTCTGGATCCATTTGGTGTGTTATGGGCCGTGATGAGATTGGTGAGGTTTGGTGCTTGCTTAAAGGCTAGGATGGGTGGTTCTGGGAAGATCCCTTTAAGAACTGACTTTCCTTCCCTAGAGAGGTGTTGGCTCTTGTACACTAGGGGTTCTGAGTGCTCTCTGAGTCCTGCAAGCCATGACTAGTGTGGTACTTGGGGTTCATCGGGAGCTGACCCACCTGCTCTCTCCCTCTCCGCTACTCTTCCCCTCTTTGGGAACCCTAGGAGGCTTTGAACTCCCAGGGGCTAACCAGTCATCTTTATCAGCTGTGCCTTCCTGCAGCTGGCCATAGCTGCCCCCACCCCCTCTTCAGTTTGCTACAGTGTTTGTCACCAGGCACTGCACAGAGGATTGGTGCCCTGCTCAATTAAACTTACTTGAGGAAATATTTTGAGGTTTTTAATGTAAGGTATTTTTCAGGCTGGAAAGTGATCCTAATCCATTTAGTGTGCTTTTTGTGTAGCATAAGGTATCTAACGCACCAGCTTAACCATTGGACATACTTTAGAAGGATACCCAATTTTTGTTATTCTTCTCCTAGAAACGGACTCCAGAACAACCCTTGGTAACCTGTTCAAATGATTGATTATTCTCCTGGTTAAGAATGTGCCTTATTTCCAGTTTTACTGATTTTTATCTTTCAGCGTTTGGTTCTTGTTCTGCTTTTGTGTGCTAGGGTAAATAGCCATCTGCTATCAGATACCATCTCTCTGTGTAAATGACCACGTAATATTCTCTTTGGTGAGATAAATTGAGCTCCTTAAGAAGCAGGTTTTCCAGATTTCAACTTGTTCTTGTAGGTATGGACCCATGAGAAACCTGTTGTGGGGACAGGATGACTTTACAGTGCCTCGGCTACTCTGAAAACTGTAGACATGTCCTTACCTTGTAATGAATGGATGCTAAATTGCTGTAGGGATAAGATGCTCTAGTTTAGCTTCTCGTACAAGGAGGGCAGGGCAGGCTCACAGGCAGCTACTGTGAAGCAGCTCTTTAGAGCCCTGGCCCCTTTACCTATGTATCCATTCCTTGTGACTCTTCTCAATCCTCCTCCTAGAAATTTCTGCACCAGAACTGGACAGAGTATTCCAGGAATGATCTTGCCAGTGCTGCCTGTACAAGCTTTAACACCTATTTATTCCTGCTTCCAGTTCTCTTGTTCATATTATAGCTAGTGATCATGTTCACCTGCTTAGCCTCCACTCTGTACTGTCAGCTCGCGTTCAGTTAGTCTGGTAGTGCAACCACTATCACCACTTCAGAGTACCTGCTTTGCAGAATGAAGTCCCTTATCCTGTCCATGTGACCTACGTTCCCTGTTGTTAGTTATGATTTTATTATTGTATCTTCTAGTGCATGACACAGTTTTAGATTTCCTTTTGAGTGGGAAATATGCCATGTTTTATACACCAAAGCTATATAAGAAAACAGATTGTTAGACTAACTAACAAAAGCTGACCAATATGCAGTCAAGTTTATGTTAAACACCTTTCTGCTACAATTTTATCCTTTTTTGGGGCAGACTTATGCACAGGTGCATTTTATACATTGGGAAACACAGTCCAGTATAAACGCACCTCGTTCTTTTGGGCAGGCAAAGTTCTTTGAGTAGATGTTTTTAGTTCTATTAGACCTACTGAATAGTTGGAAAAAAAATTTTGGCAAGCTTTTGAGCGCAGTCACCCTTCTTCAGGCATAGGAAGTCTGTGCTGTCCTGAGACTCCAAGGAAAGTTTTTTGTGTGTGTTTTTTTTTTTTTGTTTGTTTTTTAATTGTCACCCAGACAGTATCTTCTGTTGCACAGTTCATCAGCAGTTATTTCTTCCTTCTGTGTATATCACTGATGAAGAGAATGAATAATGTTAGGCCAGGAATTGATCTCTGTGGAACTTGAGCAGCAGTGCATACTGCCCCAGCATTTTAGCTGACTGGCATTGTTGCATAGTGGCCTCTGACTTTTTTTTTCCATCCAGGAGAACACAGAACATTGCAGACCTCCTCAGCCTGAAGAAGGGTGTTTGTACCCAGAAGCTTGCAAAGAAGAATTTTTCCAGCTGTTTCAGTTGGTCCAATAACCTTTTCTGCCTGTATCTTTAGACCAACACGGCTACACCTTATACCTACTCATTAAGTATTTCTTTTTGGGATACGTCAGTTAATCAGCTTTAAATCCATGTAATGCTGCCATTGATTTTTATCTAGCACTAATTTTTTAAAATCAGAATCATCAGCAATACTAAGTCAGATATCTTCAGAAACCAGTGCATTATGTTCACAGTTACTTTTATCACTCAGACTTGTAAAATCACTAATGAGCTCTATATCAAGTTAAACTTAACAAGACTGGCATTGATTACATTTCCCTCCTTGCATTCTTTATTGCTAATCCCTGTTCAGCCATTCCAGGGCTTTGTCTATGGTTAAAGTCAAGATACCTTGGTTGTAATTCCCATTTTATCCCAATTTACCTTGAATAATTGACATGCCAGTAGCTTTCTCACTAGCCTCTGAAACTTCTGCTGTATTCCAAGATTATTAAATGCCATTGTCAATGTTCTGTTGTTGTAATGAGAGTGAGAATGGCAGAAAAAGGAGGACAGGCAGGAGAGCACCGAGTTGGCACTGGCTGGGTTGTTGCTGTGCATACCGCTGGTGTTATGTGGGTGACCAGCCGGTGTGTGGGTTCATAGGTGGGTTGATTTTTTTTTTAAAAAAAAAATAAAAATCACAGGCTTCGTAATGAGCTTAGAAAATCAAGACCAAACCTTGCAGAAAAGAGAGGTATGCAATTGGTGCCAGTTGCCTTTTTAAGATGGGTTAATTTCAGGTTGTCGAGGAAAATGAGAAGGAGCTCTTGGATAAGAACAGGGAATTAATCTTTCCTGATCATAAGTGGCAGTGTGAGCTGTGCAACAGCATGGACTGCCCTGCCTTTGAAATAGGAGTACCATCATAATGGGACACGCAGGTGGGAGGCTGTGGTCCCCCTCAGTTTTCTGCTCGGAGATGAGAACAGCAGTTTCTCCATTGTTTGCTCTCAGCTCCATGCTGAAGAGAAAAAATAAAATAGAGGTTTTGGCTGGATGGAGGGAGAAGCATCCCCAAAAACTTTGATTCCTCCTCTTTCCCATCATCTATGAATTGAGCAGAGAGGAAGCAGCAACAGATTAGCTCTCTTGCCCTTTGGAATGATGTGTTTCCTCTGCTGGATGGGAAGGAAGTCTCCCAGTCAGTTTGTGACTGTAGCGTGCCAGCTGCTCCTGAGTTGTAGATGGAGTAAGCTAGGACTTAGCAAGACTTATCTAAAGATCCGCTAAAGAAGTTTGTGCTTTCCGTTAGGGATTATTTTACAACAACTCACTGTAAAGCAACAGTTCTCAAACTGGGCTAGACTCAGGTTGCTGGCTCCTTTTCTTTTGTTTTCCACTGAAATCACTTTAAATGAAGCTTAAAATATGTGTGCCACTTCTAATATTGTACTGTTGTACTATGTGAGCAGTGCTGTAGCTGGAACAAGATTGCCATATGTCTGTGAGTAGGCAGGATGATGGGCTGTGTGATCAAGAATGGAGAGGCAATCTGTTTGTCAGGGTTGGGTCCAGACTATGAGAAGGTTTGGGAGCCTGTGCTCATGAAAAGAATCCATAGGCAAGAAAAGGTGGGGTATTCTGGTCATTGGGTGACCATAACATTGATGGATGTGTATGGTAGTGGCCCTGAGTGTTACAGTGACTGTGTTTTGTTCCCACAGATGATGTGAAAATGACCATGGCCCAGGCTGGGGCAGTAGTTGCGACTGCAACAGGAGTTCTGCTGTTTCTCCTCTATGCCTCCATTCACAAAGTCGAGGAGGGCCACTTGGCTGTGTATTACAGGTACTGTTCCTAGTAAGCATGTCCAAGCCTCTTGCCAGTAAACAGTGTTTTTCTGGGTTTAACCAGAAAATGCAGTACGCTTCCTCAAAGGAAAGCTTTGGGTAGGTGATTGTCCAGGTCCACGTTCCATGTCTGGGCCCTGTCTCAGGACAGGCAGGTCTTCTATTACCAATACATAAATGATAAAATTGGCCTAAAATCATAAGCTTTTTCTTTTAAAAAAAAAAAAAAAAAAAATCTTGATTTCTGCTGGTTTTTTTTCTTTTTTGTATGACCTTTCCTACCCTAGCATGCAAGACAAGTGTAGGATAAAAGTACAATTGTAAATGTATGTAGAGTATGCACACGAACATGGCCTTTTGAACTCTTGCATACATACTCTGGAGTTCCTCACCATCAGCCTGTCCTGCAGTCTTCAGCACCTGGCCCTAACCCTCCCTTGCCCCCTTCCCACCCAAACTATTAGAAATACCTTTTTCCTAGTAGATCTTTGGATTATTATTCTTATTTCCAGCTGCTAAGTGCCTGAAAGTAAACATGCTTTACTGTTCCATTCTTCCATGTAAGCAGTCGCTCTGGTTACCATGGAGAAGTTATACAAATGTGGTTGAGAGGAGTATTCTCCTGCCAGCAATCTCCAGAAGGTGTGTGTCTCTCCATGAAAATAATTTGGGGCCTCTGATCTAGTCAGCATTTCAAGTAGTTAATCATAATAGTGTAACTGTTAAAGTCCCTTCCAGGCCAGCATGCAGAAGTACAATTCCTACCACTGTGAAGTTTGCCACAATGTTCACCCTGCAGGCTTGGATTCTCACTTGAATGAGAACAGAAGTCGTATCTACAAACTGCATCTGCACCAGAGAAACAGAAAATGCAGAATCTGGGTTCTGCTGCCCTGGGAATCTTCCATTTACATTAAATAAATCACAGCAATGATAACTGTTAAACAATCTGGGGTATTTTTCAGGTCACTCAGCACAGTGGTATATTCACCATTACTTCAGCGTTTTAAAGTCAGACTGGCTTACTTTAATTAATGAATACATAATTAAATAAAACCAAGAAAAGTGCTGTGTTCTACTGCATGTCTTTTATGTGTCATGGTGTTCTCTGGTTCTCAGAAAGTCTATGGCAAAGGTCTGCTCAAGTTGAATGATCAGGGCATGCTAGTTTCTATAGCCAGGGGTGTATAATGGAGAGATGCAGCTGGCATCCTGTCTAGCCATGTTTGACTGCCATCCTGAATGAGCAGGTATCCACTTTCAGGTATGTCTGCTAAAGGCAGCCTTTGGCATGAGTCTAGAGCGGGGATGATACTTGCACCTTTGCACTTTAACTTCTCCACCATCACATCCTGACTCCCCTGTGTAGTAGGACTTAAATCCTTTAATTTTCTTACCTACAGAATCCACCAAGGCAAATCAGATGGCCTGCACTATACAGCAGGCCAGACCAGAGTAGGTAACTGTTTCTTCTGGCCTTAACATCTATGAAAGACCATCTTGGTCGTGATTCAGCTTTATCACATACTTTGCACAATGGACAAAATGCAGTTGCGTTGGAAAGGTTTATGAGACTGTTATTTTGCAGGCCTCCAAAATGCGGAGGTTACATATGACTGCTCCCTAATGGCATGTGAAACTTATTGCAGGACTTACATCTGAGGGATTCTGCTGCAGGTTCTTGAAGTTTTCTGTGTTACAAACTTTCTCAGATGTTCTTAATTTTATTTAAATTAAGCAATAACCTTGTCAAATTAGATGCATTGAAGCTTATTTAAGTTTCTTCCTTTGAAATGAGAAGCTTTTTTTTCCAGTGGGGAATAAAATCCTTTTGCTGAGTACCCAACTCTCCCAGCTTTTAAAACTGGCTGTTCTAAAAGAAGCTTCTTTGTAGTCCTAATAGTATAAGTTGCCATCACCAGCTTCTGTGACCCTGAAGATTGCAGTTCTCCTCTCTGCTTCTCTTGTGTCAGCCCTTGCACACCTTCATCTTGTTATACTGGAGTCAGTGTCAGTCTCTAAGTTAACTTCATCTGTGGCCTGAATGTTCTGGTGCATACATTTTCTCAGCTGAAAGAAGCTGCTATTCTTGAATGTGTTCTAGGACCTTGTTCCTGGCTATGGGCAAGAGACTAACCATTAGATTTGTACAAAAGAGGCACTTAGGCAGATATTTAGAGGGGGGTTGGTATTTGAAGGTAGTGCACACATCTACCACCAGCTGGATGCATCTTTTAGTAAGCAATATCTGCTCCACCAAGGGCTAGTTTCCTGTGAAGACCTGGCACAGCTTGCTCTGTATGCCCAGGTGTTGGAACAATATACTAGAGGCCTTTCGGAGAGTTAGCCATTGCAGCCACACTGCTCTCCAGGATGCCAGCATTTCTGTGTTCTGTACGAGGCTTGTAAACTGGTTATCACTGGGTGACAAGGCAAGGACAGAACTCATCTGATTCAAAGCCTTGGAGAACCTGGGGTTTCAGTAAGCCTGACTCAACATTTGCTGCATCAAGACTCAATCAGCAATAATAGCTATTTCCAAGGCCTCAGCACACAGTGTATCTTGAGGCTGTTTTATTGATTTGAGGTCAGTAGCGATCCATGTTTCCGGGTGGGATCCATGTATGCTGAATACCTGATCATGCCTTCATAGTTGAAAGTCTGGAGGAAGATCCCTACGATCACCACCTTTTTAAAGACTGTTTTCCTTGTGGTGGTGTCAGCCTAGAGGGTGAGGAAGCCCTTGGCATTCAAATTAAAGAGGGGAAAAAAGCAGTAGAAAACTGTAGCAGGGCTCTCACAAGAAAGCGGTGCTGTCTCTTTGCAGTCTAGCCCAGGCTACCCTGCCTCTCACTGAATCCAAGATACTGCCTAAGCAGAGAATGGGAAAGGAGGATGACTGCATTGCTTGGGTAGCTGTAGACCACCACTAAAATGTCTAGCTAGAACAGCTGAGTTTAGGGATTTGTAAAGACCCAGTGAAGGGTCAGGTGCCTTTAAGCACTAAGGGAGTCCCAGAGATGGGGAATGAAGTGGGAGATGATTGAGAGGTGTCTGTCACAATGGGGAATGAGGAGTTAGAGACTTTTAAGATACCTTTGTCCAGTCATTGAGATCACCCTGGGATAACAGAGTGAAACTCTGAGAGGGCCTGAGACCCCTGAATGTGAGGCAGATGTGGTGATAAGATGGTGTGCATTACAGAGCCATCAACGTGTTGACTTACAGTTCTGTATCTGTCTCTTTGGTGACAGAGAAGGCTGTCTTCAGCTGTACCAGTGTCTGGGATCCATTCATGATATGAACTGGTTGGTTGAGGCTACAGACAGCTAAACGTGGCGATGCATATCCACAAGATTGGACCAAGACAAGATAGTCTTGTTTCTCCAGCTCTGTTAATTGTTTTCCTAGACCAGTGATTCTTAACCAGGGTGTCATGGCACTTTGGAGTACCCTGAGATCTTTTCAAGCGTGCCACACAATGTTACTACTGTTACGTGTGCAGACATGATTCTCAAGATAAACTCAGATTTCAGCTAAGATACCATAGTGTTAAAATCTTTCTGCCCTGTTGCGGCCTTTCTGAGTTCTTTGCGATACAAGCATTGCTCTATTATTTTTCTGTAGTCAAAACATGAGTGAAAAGTAAGAGCTGGCATTTTCCAAGGGGTGTCTTGAGTCTTAAAAAGGTTGAGAACCACTGTCCTAAATCCTTGGCTTCTTTCAGATGACCAGAAATAGCAGTCAGCAGGAGCATGTCATTCTGTTTGTGCTTGGCTAGAAGGCTGCAACTTGTCCTACCAATTGCAGGAGCTCCCTACCATGAGCTGTGTTCCTATTGTTATGGGAGTACAGATTATTTATATGGGACTGCACTTACAAAGCTTTCAGAGTCTAGCTAATGCAAACACTGGCATTACCTAACATTTCCTCTTTCTTTGCACTCTTGTGCCAAAGTCAGCTTGATGCATTTTTTTTCCACCCACTCCTTGGAGACCAAGGTCTTGCACTGTGCTCATGGCAAAGGGGGGCAAATCTGAAAGCCTGCAGTCCTTGTGATATTCTGTGCTTATGTGAACTTTGATGTAATTGTAAATGCATCTTGGGAAGTCGGTTGGACATCATGAAAGCTGGAAGAAATATGTGAAGCAAGAGTGTTTAATGTGGTATGCTCTGGAATACAGAGCATATTTCACCTTTTGTTAGAGGAGCACTTAAGTATTAAAATTACCCCCTGGGGGCAGCTCTCAGTAACCACATGAAACTGCAGTTCTGGGTAATGATACAATTTCTTTGGGATTTTGTTCTGGAGCGTATACAATTTTAATAATTAAGGCAATTAATACATCTTTAGCTTTGGGAGCTAACTTCCATTGCTGGTGGGTGTTTCCCAGAAAATAGATCGCTGTGTTTGGTGTCCTACCCAAATTCTTTATAGTGTTCTGGCAATAAAAAACCCCAACTGTGCATTCCCTTAAGCCTCTCCTGCTCTTGGCCTGCCCATTATGGTGTGTGTTTGTCAGGAAAAGGCCAATGTCAGGGCCTTAAGTCAGCTGTGAAACATAGAAATGAAGTGAAGCCCAGATTTCTGTAAGCGCATCTTCCCTCCCATTCATCCAGCAACCAGGCTCCCGCCTTTTCCCGGTCAACCTCTGAACTCTCATTAGTGACAGTAGTTTCTGTGCTGCTGCAGAATGATGTGTACAGGGAGTTGGCAAGCAAACACCAGCCCCCACCAGGCCAGGCAGCAACAGCAGCACTGGTCCCTGCTCTTGTCTGGCTCTGATCTGGTTCCAGTCCTGGTCCTGGCCGTGTGGTTTCATAGTTAGTAGGGTTGGAAGGGACCTGAGCAGATCATCAAGTCCAACCCCCTGCCATGGCAGGAAAGAGTAGTGGGGTCAAACGACCTTAGCAAGGTGTTTCATCTAGCCTCCTCTTAAAGACCCCCAGGGTAGGAGCCAGCACCACTTCGCTTGGAAGTTGGTTCCAGATCCTAGC